CGTCTGGTTCCAATTAACAAGACTGTTTGAGAGGATCAGCCTTGGAGAAACCGACATAGCCTGACATCAATCATCTCATTAATTTAGGCTGCTAATAGGACATTTGATCGACTTTGCTGAACCACGTACGAGGAACGGGGCCCTGGACTCAACATGTCATTATCTGAGTCCACCATGTGAAGTGTCTCACTGGATATTTCACTGGTTTCCGACCTGAAGAAAAGTACTACTACCTTATATTACTACTACTAATATAATATAATATAATACAATGTAATCATAATAATAATAATAAAACAAACAAAACTCAATTAAAACAAACACTGACTTCAAACACACATGTCTGTTACCATGGTGACACACACACACAGACACACACACACTGTGAGGCAACAGGTGAATCGAACTAATCAAATCAGAGTTATTGGTAACGCCTCACGCACACACAGATAACAGGATGTGATCACAGAGACTTTTAATTATTTTTAAAAATCCAAAATGATCACAGATTTTCACAATAAAATGACATAATTGTAATACACTTGTATTACACACACACACACACGGTGTGTGTGTGTGTGTGTGTGTTCCCTCACCCTCTCCCCGTGTCCCGGAGCTGCGGTGCAGCAGAGCATCAGAACCAGCAGCGGGACGATGCTCGGCCTCTGGCCGGCCGGAGCCTCCATCCCGACGGACTCCCCGCTGAGCAGAGACTAACTGACTCGGCTCGTGATGGGCTCCTCTTGCAGGGTTCGGCTCAGTTCGGTTCGGTTGAGTCCAGACGGGGGTCCGTGCAGATGATCCTGCTGCGGGATGGAGAGAGAGACAGTCCACTGACAGAGGAGTCAAATCCGCGACTCTCTGACAGGGACTTCCGACTCAACTCTTCAAAATAAAAGCCTGACGTAACTCTCTTCAAGCCTGACTTAAATATCACAATACAAATATATAAACTGTGGTATCTCAGTATTTATTATACTTTGATCTTGAGGACATTTGATCTGCTCGTTGAATATGATGCATTGTTATAGATTTCATTTTTAATAAATTCGGAAATATCACCACAAAGACCAAGTGTTTCTTCATGAACATTTCCTCCAGCTTCATCAGTTTTTAACTTCTTTGTGTCTGAACATCTGCATCACATTCATTTCATCGGCCTCCTGAAGTATTGAGAGTCTGTAAACTGGATCAACAGGACCAGAACCACCAGAGACTTCCTCCCATCAACAACAGCTGGATGTGAATAGTATAATTATGTATTTAATCATTTACTTCTCTCTTTGTTATTGGTTTTGTTTCACTTATGATATGAATCTCTTAATTTACATTGTTCCGCCTTTCCTGTTATTCTACTTTTGTACTTTATTTTTGTATATATATACTAACCTCGTGTATATATGCCAACTAACCCCGTTTTTTTTTTTCTGCATCGACAAGCAGCTTTTATTTTGGAGCCCGGGGACCGGAAGTGTGTGCGCGCTCCCGCTCGCTGACGGACGCGCTCGGTAGTGTTGCAGCGCTGCGGGTTCAGTTTAGCGGATAAAGTTCAGTTTTCCGTCTCTGACATGAACAGCGCGTGAAGCTCCGGACCGAAGCGCGAGACCTTCAGGTAAGTGAGCCTCACCTGTCCGTCAATTAACTGTCAATTAAGCTCCACTCAGCTCTGACGTCAGCAGGTAAATTAACGTTAATGAGCTACCGATGAAGGTGAAGAGGAGGAGAGGAGTAACTGAGTACTTTTACTCAAGTACTGGGCTGCAGTACTTCATCCTGCAGACTTTATACTACTAGTACGACTACTACTACTACTATAAAAACTACAATGATCACCTCATCGATAACACCAGATGATGCGTTCACGGACTCCTTAGCAGAATCTCTGCACTGTGATCTACGGAGTACAAATACTCCGTTACAAGTACAAGTACTGCGTTCACAACGTTGTATTAAAGCATTGAAGTTTAACTCGTTAAGCAGAATAATAATCCATTTTAATCTGTATTATTATTCATTGAGCATCATGTGACTGTTGTTCGAGGAAGATGAAGTTTAAAGTAAAAGCTCTAAGTAGTAAGTAAAGTATAAAGGGGCAGGAAGTACTGAAGTGCATTGAAGTTGTTCCTCAGTACTTCATGATGATCTGAAAAACATCATCACAATAAACATCTGGAGTCTTTGAGACTGTGGAAACATCTGTCTGTCTCTCACTGAGGCAGAAATGAGACTGGGTGTTTTTGAAACTTGTAAACGAGACTTTACATTTTCTTCAGCTTGTTTTGTGATAAACTAAGTCTGTCTCTCTGTCTCTCTGTCTGTCTGCATCTGTCTGTCTGTCTCTGTCTCTCTGCGTCTGTCTGTCTGTCTCTGTCTGTCTGTCTCTCTGTCTCTGCGTCTGTCTGTCTGTCTGTCTGTCTGTCTCTCTGTCTGTCTATCTCTCTGTCTGTCTGTCTGTCTGTCTGTCTCTCTGTCTCTCTGCGTCTGTCTCTCTGCGTCTGTCTCTCTGTTTCTGTCTGTCTGTCTCTGTCTGTCTGTCTGTCTCTCTGCGTCTGTCTCTCTGCGTCTGTCTCTCTGTCTCTCTGTCTGTCTGCATCTGTCTGTCTGTCTCTGTCTCTCTGCGTCTGTCTGTCTGTCTCTGTCTGTCTGTCTGTCTCTGTCTGTCTGTCTGTCTCTCTGTCTCTCTGCGTCTGTCTCTCTGCGTCTGTCTGTCTGTCTGTCTGTCTGTCTGTCTGTCTGTCTCTCTGTCTCTCTGCGTCTCTACAGGACGACCAGCAGCGTCAGAGCGTCCTCACCGGCTGAGAGAAGGCCCGGAGGCGGAGTCAGAGTGACAGGGCTGCGTAGTGGGCGGGACTTCCTGTGAGCACAAGAGGAGAAGATGCGGCTGACTTCCTGTTCCTTCCCCTGCAGCACCACCTGGCTCTGGTAAACAGGATGTGACCTCACTGCTGGTCCGGATACCTACCTCTCCCCTGACTCACCTGTGTGTCTCATCCTCCAGGTGCCTCCTGATGATCCTGTCGGCTCCTCCAGCAGCTGTCGGGGTGAGTTCACCGTCTCTCTCTTTTAAAGCTGGAATTTTATTGTGAAATGTGACTCTCTCTCACGCTTCAGCCTGCAGACAGGAAGTCCTGGCTTCCTGTCCAATCAGAGGAGAGCAGAGAGGAACCTTAATGCCTCTCTTATGTTCGGATGATGCTCAGCTCTGCTGCCTTTATTGATCCTTTTGATCAGAGTGTTATAGATCTCATTATCAGGTTCTGTGTGAAATACTCAGTATCCTCTTAACCAGACTTTATTTTGACACCTGCCTGCATGATGTCATAGTTTGGCTGTTTTGTTGCTTCCTGTGATGAATTTGGACCGAACACGACTGCCTCTTATCAACGATATTATTGGCTGCTGGAGGAAACTGTTCGACCAATCAGGAGCTGCATTGAGTGATTCTGCAGGTTGTTTAATAAACAGCAAGTTTCAACTTTTCAGAGATCACTTTTTATTTAGTTTTAGTATTATTATTATTGAGGAAAATGATCACCTGAGTCTGGTGTCCCTCAGGGATCATACCTGGATCCTCAGGTTAATTGTTGACAATATAATTAACCGACTATTGAAACACAAGAGATCAATTTAAAGAAACTCTGGTCAGAAGATGATGGACTGATGGACTACTGATCAGAAGGAGGACTGCTGGACTACTGGTCAGAAGATGGAGGACTGATGAACTTCTGGTCAGAAGAAGGAAGACTGCTGGACTACTGGTCAGAAGAAGGAGGACTGCTGGACTACTGAACAGAAGATGGAGGACTGATGGACTACTGATCAGAAGATGATGGACTGATGGACTACTGATCAGAAGATGATGGACTGATGGACTACTGATCAGAAGAAGGAGGACTGATGGACTACTGATCAGAAGAAGGAGGACTAATGGACTACTGATCAGAAGATGGAGGACTGATGGACTACTGATCAGAAGATGGAGGACTGATGGACTACTGATCCAGGATGAACACAGGATGGAGAGATGACCCTGCGGAGGTGAAGAAACTTGTCTCTTCAGTCTCTGTGATTCTGTTGAGGGTCGTGATGGAGGACTCATGGAGGACTGATGAAGGGAGGATGGAGGGCTGATAGAGGCCTGATGGAGGCCTAATGGAGGACCGATGGAGGCCTGACGGAGGGCTGACGGAGGACTGACGGAGGACTGATGGAGGGCTTACGGAGGACTGATGGAGGACTGATGGAGGAGTGACGGATAACTGATGGAGGCCTGACGGAGGCTTGATGAAGCAGACTTTCAGGACAATGTCGTGACAGCAGAGCGATCCACATTCCTGCTGATAAACACGCCTGACTGATAACCTGGTTTACACAACGCTGCAAGAATGTGGCCGCTACACAAACACTGCTGCATGCTGGGAAACTCACCGTCTGGGGGCCCACGGAGTAAATAAAACACCCACAGGGTCCCTCAGTGTGGGACGTGTGAAGGGGGACATTAGGGGTCAAGGTTCACTACCATAATCAAAAACTCCACATTAATTAATTTAACATGATTTCTTTGTTTTATTATAAAGTCTACATTAACAAACATCTTATATTATATTTACAATATAAAACAACCTTGTTTTGTCTCAGCTGCAGATGTTTTACTGTAGAACTGATGGTTTGGTTCCTATCTGATGAACAGAAGCTGCTTCACATCTGTCCTCATTCACACTGTTCAAAGACTGTGTGGGTCACAAGAAATGGATGCATGATTGTCACGGATGTTATCTGATGAACACACACACACACACACACACACACATGCAAAGTCAGCTGTCTGCATCCTGAGAATCTCAGAGATGCTTGTCTCTCTCTCTCTCTCTGCACGGTGTTTACATTCCTGACTGTCTGAACACAGAGAATACACCTTAAAATACAAAACACACTGCTGGAGAAGACACACCTGAAAACATAGAAAACTCGCTCTGTTAGAGAAAATACACCCGAAAACGTGTTGACTGTCCTGCTGCTTCACTGGTCCTGTAACTGGTCCTGTTACTGGTCCTGTAACAGGTCCTGTTACTGGTCCTGTTACTGGTCCAGTACAGAAGCTTCGCATGTACTGCTTCCCTTTCCTGCTAGCCTGCTGTCTGATTGTGAGGTCAGGCTGATCTGATATCAGCTCTTTGGCTGCAGAATCTCCGCCAAAGTTCTCCTCTCAAACGGGTCTTGGAGGAGTAGTGCTCGCGCTGGCGCTGGCGCTGGCCTGTAGAGACTTCTCCTGACGAGAACGCGCAGCTAGGGGGGCCAAATATAGCTGAATAGCTGAATCTATTTGAGGGCGCTGATTGGCTAAATTGTATGTCACTCATTTATATCTTTAATCAGCTATTGGCTAAACTGCTTCATAGACCCGCCTCTTTTGGGCCAAAACGATTTTGCCCCCTAGCTGCGTGTTCTGAGACGTGTCGTGCACACAGGTGGAGAGCACGAGCAGGAAAAGCATATATTTTACGCAGATATCATATTTTACACATATTACTGGGTACATTCCATAGTTCAAAAACACAAATATTGACAATTTGTATAATTTATGATTATTATAATTTATTTTTTATTTTTTTATTTTTTTTGTGTGGCTCATTGTGGGGTCAGGCCCCATGGCCCTCTATTGACCAGCCGCCACTGCTGCCCACCTTACCAGTGGTGGACTAGCAAAACTTATCCTCAAACAAACGGGTCGTCAGAAATCTTACTAAAAGTTACTCCTCATTTTTTGTGTTTTCCTACTCAGCAACACGTTTCTGGTCCTTACATGAAAACAGTCTTTTCAAAATAAACTTCTGTCTTCACAGGGAAGCATTTAGTTAGGTTTAGACAACTAAACTACTTAGTTAGGTTTAGGAATATATGGTGGTTTGGGTTAAAATAACTATTGAAGTGCTGTTACAGAAGTACGCAAGTTACGTGACAAATAAATCAACGTTGATATCTTATCAGATCAGTGAAGTCTTTATGAATGTCTGATTGGCTCATTATTAGCATGAGTCATGATGTGGTTACACTGATGTCATGTTGATGTCATAATGATGTGAAAGTGAGGAACTTCCTCCAATAGAACAATAAAGATCTGCACTGAACTGAAGACATGTCCTGTTGATGATGATGGTGTGATGTCACACCGATGTCTTAGTGATGTATGTGTTCTCACTTGGTTTCCAGGGCGACCAGACCGAGTTGTGCGGTGGTAGGGACTGCTCCACCTGTCAGTGTTTCCCAGCCAAAGGAGCGAGGGTGAGACTCCGCCCACTCACAAACACAGCAGCCAATCAATGCACTGATGCACTATGACACGATCACAGCTGCTTTCTTCTGTTCACAGACCTATGACACCTTCACTGTCGGCTCATAAACCGCAGACACTAAAACACACACAGACATGAAGACACACACAAACTGTGTAATAATGAGCTGTTGGATGGAGGAGTGATAGTGAGGAATGTGTTGGTGTTAAATTAGCTGCTGATTCCACACACACACACACACACACACACACACACACACACAGAGCAGTGTGATGTCACTGTTTTACCTCTACCTCCCTAAACTCGTCTTTCAGATAAGGTAACCATATTAACCTGAAGTGATCTAGTCGCTCCAAAAGGTTATGTGTAGTGTGGTCCAGATGTTTCTGTACATAGTCACAGTGTGGTCCAGATG